AATAGACAACATATTCTCATGCAACACATCTTCAAATATACTGACATTTTGGGGTCTTTCTGTTTCTTAAGCAGCTTTACAAAATGCTCTTGGATACAGTTAGTCACATGTTTTTCTCTAGAATGACCAAGAGAGATTCTGTGTTTTGTTTATCTCAAACCACTGCTTGACATGACTTGCAATTGGAATTATCATATACAAAAAGTATGGATCCTGTAGAATTACATCATTGCAGCATTATTCTTAATCACAATCTGACAAGTCATTCATCCCTTCTCTGTTATATTAGACCAAGCCCAAACCAGCCACATCCCTCCATGATACTATTTCCACCACGCTGGGACAACACGCATATATATTCAAATAATTGCTCAGGTTACCATCAACCCAAAGGATATCCATCCGAGGTATAGTGGGATTCATTATTGAACATAGTGGTCTTCCATACTTCACCCCGATTATGATATTTGGAAGCAACACTAGAGTTTCCTCTATACAACGTGGGTGTGTTGGCTTAAAGTTCTAAACTCTTGTGGGTGTTTTAGCTTGAAGTCGTAAATTCTTGTGGGTGCGTTGGCATGAAGTCGTAAACTATTGTGGATATTTTGGCTTAAAGTACTAAACTCTTGTGGATGTGTTGGCTTGAAGTCCTAAACTCTTGATTAAACCTTTTTATTGTTGTTGTTTTCTTCGTGCAAAGCAACATAATTGGTTGTCTGCACTCTGTTCACCATGGGGAATTGAACCACGGATTTTAGTGTTATAAGTCTATAAACTTACCGCTGGCCCTTTGGCGTATACATTTTGATAATGCAATACGTTTCAAAGTTCATATGGATTGAAAAGTGATTAATTTTGGGTATCTGTACTCAGGACGTGTGCATCCAGTGATCTGTTTATTCGTATAAAATGTCTATGGTACAAATACAAACAGTGCTGCACCTAATAACCAGTCCTCTGTGAAAGTCCATAAATTCCTTTCTTTGTTGGGATCTTCATTCCATTTAAGACTCTGTGGCATCTGCTGGCTCATATAAACCTCAGACAGCAATAAATTATTAAATTCGCTTAAAAATTCATTGGATACTTAACCATTGCTAGTTGAAAGTGGTTCTACCCCCCAATACTTTAGATAATATATATAAAGTGTTAAGTACGTTATATTTAAATGATTTTGAATATGGAAATTAGAAAATCACGTGAAAAACATAATAAGTATAAAGTCATGGTAGAAAGACACGTTTCGGAACTACATTGTTTGACGTTGCTTAAGTATAAAGTGTGACCCAACTAAAAATTTATTGTTTTTGGAAATGATATGTAACAGACCTTACCAACTAAAGCTGTTCATACACTCAGTAGAAAATTATAAGATTACCAAAAATGGGGATATCCGTGTGGTACTTTCAGATAGCAATGATTACTCCCAAGATTGGCTACGTCCGCAGAATAACGGGAAAATTGTCAAACTATTTACTGCAAAATTATCTTGTGTTCTTTGACAAACTGAGTTCGCGAAAAATGAAAAGAGATTGTACTCGAATGTAGAATCACAATAAACAATCTTTATTCAAACAAACATGGTAAAAATATATTACTACATCAGACAGTCGCCTTTACTGGAAAGTTAAGTTTGAAGTCGCCTCTTTCTTATTGACATATGGTCGTATGCAAGACTAACTTTGTTGATATCCTGTTTCAGACTTACCCAGAGCGACTAGCACTATTCACGTGACTAATCATTTCCAATGAATCATAAGGGAATCGTAACCTCAAGACTGCCAGTGGAAAAAGGTGTTTAACTTCACACATCATAGATGACTTTGCTGCTATCTCTACCATGGGAAGATAAATGGTACCGCTCCAGCTGAATGAATGACACAGCACAGTTGGTAGATAGAGCGAAAGAAACCTTCAACATGTTATGTGGAAACTGCACACACCTACACGAATAATAAATTCTGAAAAATTCCTATATTAGTACACGAAGGTATAAAACACACTGTATGTTTATATACCACAAATGTACAAGAAAAACAAAGAAGTGTGGATCAAATTGGGGTACCACGACCATTCAGACCTGTAACAGGTAGGAATCCACGGACACAAAGGTCAGTGGCAAAACCAGTCCACGTGCTCTAGGCAACAAACCGTACACAACATAATCAAGAAGTTTCTCCGTCTGAAAAAGCGTATACATGTCGCTTACACGACTTATCTGTTCAACTGTCGCATACCTCAAGCAGCCTGAGAATAAAAGGGTTTTTTATGTTATTTCGTAAAAAGACATTCCAATCAATTCGCCGGACGCAGCACCTGTGTATTTATGCGCGATCGGACTGTTGATACGGGTGCTGGGAAAATAAGTTTTGAATTTTGTAATGAAAAATGTACAACCAGATAATGTTTACTTTGCTAGTTTTGATGTAGAATCTTTGTGCATTGATAATCTTTTGAATAGTTTTAAAATTAACATAAAAATTAAGATCAAAGATTTGCAATGTATTTTTTTAGAAATTAGTAGGATTTGTTACAAAGGAATTTTATTCTCTTTTTAATAACACATATAATGCAACTGATGGAATTTAAATGGGATCAAGGTTAATACCATCGCTTGCCAGTTTGTTTCTTTGCCATTATAAAAAAGGTGGAATCCTCAGTAGCCACGGCGCGTGAAATTATTTTAGGTAGGATTAGAATAAATTAACCTATAAGACCTTTTTTCCCCCGTTTTATTAGCTATATTTTTTCAGCCAGCAATACCAAGCTTGGGGTGCTAGGATACCCGATTCGATTTTATTACTCATCAGGATATCTACCAGCCTACCCTCAAATCGAAATTCTTTTAGGCAGAATTAGAGTTAATCAATCTATGAGACATTGGGCGTAATCAAATACGTCAGTCGAAAGGGTTTGAACTCCTGAGTCCAAAACTGTAATTAGATATCAAATCGGTCAAGAGATGACGGAGCTATAAGTTTATACTTAAAACTCAGAGCCGCTATACCGCCGCTAAAAACAGTGGTTATAATATTGGCCATTGTAAACAAAAGTGTGTTGATGGTACTTTTGTCCTTTTCAAGGAGTATCAACATGTAAGGCAGTTTCGTACAATATCTTAGTAATCAACAAGCAAAGAAAGATTTCTTCTAAAACATGGAGATCACCAGCTTGCATATCTTGATACACTAATATTATTTTTATTTTAATAGTTGGATACCAGGTTTATTTGGCCAGGCTCTTAGAGCGCTTGACTCGCAATCTGAGGATCGCGGGTTCGAGTCCCCGTCCCACCAAACATGCTCGCCCTTTCAGCCGTGAAGGCGTTATAATGTGACGGTCAATTCCACTATCCGTTGGTAAAAGAGTAGTCCAAGAGTTGGCTGTGGATGGTGATGACTAGCTGCCTTCCCTCGTGTAGCTTTGCGCGAAATTCAAACCAGGCCATGTTTATTTAAATGGACCTGAAATACTAACAAATGGTGCGTGTGGAATAGCTCCAGCGATTACGAACATTTCAATATTTCCACAAGGAATTGAACAATATTAACATGTTTTAAATCATATTATTTTTATAAACAGTATAAAAGATAGCATTAGATTTATTGTTGTTCTTTGTAGTTAAGTACAAAGCTACACAATAGGCTGTCTTTGTGCCCACCACAGGTATTGAAACTCGGATTTTAGCGTATTGGGCCTTCAGACTTACCGCTGTTCAGCAGGGGGCTTGGCATTATATGCAATTATTTGTACAACGGCAACTTCAAACAGATAAAATACAATCTTCAACAAATGACAAGTATAAATTACATGTAGTAAATGTAAAATATCAGTTATATAAGATTTTTCGTTGAACCCATCCACAGATTGATTTAATAACAACCTTTACACCTGATAATTAAATACAAAAAAATGTATAAAGACGGAAATTTACATTTAGAAACTGGTATATATATATATACATGTGTGTGTGTGTGTGTGTGTATTTAAATATCCTATACGTAATTATAGGTATATAGAGGTTCGACCACTAGACGGTCAGGAACACGCATAAATTAACATGCAAATTTAGTGACGAATAATAAATTAGTATACGTGAGTAACATGACCTTGCGCTCCGTGAATGTGGCATAGTCATACATCATAGAATGTTTAAGATTCTCGCCAGAGGACGTGATGGGAAGAGCTTACATATAAAATAGACGTGATTGATAACAAACTACAACCAGAGCCGAACGAAGTAAACTTAGCAATAAAACTGTTAAATTTAATATAGAAAAGTACTTTTGTGAGGTATAATTAATATGTTAAATTTTTAGATTTAATGACTCGATCCGGTGTCTCAGCGGTAGGCTTGGGAGTGACCTTATAACGCGAAAAATCAGGGCTCGATCCCCGCGGTGGGTACAGTGCAGATTGTCCATTGTACAACTCTGTGCTTAAACAAGAGAAGCAAATGAAAGTAACGATCGTATTATCTCGAATGAAACATCGATCGGTTGTTGATAACTATATTGAAATTTTGTAACTTGGTGTAAGATGGCATGTACGAGCTCTCTCGCTAGACCTGCTTTTATTTGTTGAAATTTTTATTACTGTATTCACTTCAAGAAATAACGCATAAATATTGAAGCGGCTACTTAATTTCTAAATACAAATTTTACACAATGTAAACTTAGGCATTCTCGTAGAAAAATATTGAAATTGATACTAAAGTAAAACACTTGTTTTGTTTAATGCACGTGTCGTCTATTATAATTATTTCCGTTACCACGTGAATTCTTTTTCCTGAGATTATGCAGTTAAATGCATTTCCAAAATTGTGAAGAAATAACAGCTATGTTTTCATATATTACTTCTCTAATGCTATTTTTCCTAATCTGTTAGATAGCCTACAAATGGGAATTCGTTGTAAATTACAGATTTCGTTGTTGTTTTTTAATGAATTTATTAATATATTTCGTTCTTCTTTTTCATGGTTATCTTCGATTTCTCATCAGGACTTCATCACTGTAAGTAAAATGTTTATCAGTTTTCTATACTTTTAATAATTACGCATGTTATTGTACTTTTCTTTCTCCTTTTTTTTTTTTTTTAAGTACATCAAAATTCCCAGTAAAAGATATTCTTATTGAAAATAGGTTAGTATGCCGGGACTGTAAACCTGAGGATCCACAGTCTGCGTCCATCTGCCACAAAATCATTCTCACCACTTTAGAGAAAGAGTGCGTTATAAGTGTAACTGTCAAATCCCACCATTAGCTTAGATTATAGTAGCCCAAAGGCTGGCGGTAGGTGCTGTTGACTAGATGCCTTCTATCTAGTCTTATCACTTCAAATTTAGAGAAGGCTAACACAAATAGGCCTCGCGTAGTTTTTGCCTTAATATTCGAAACGAGTAAGCAAGCTGAAAATAAAAACAACGCGTAGTCCCCATCATTTATTTTACACAGGTGTCGCTTCTTGAGCTTACGAGTAAGAGCCTTAATTGATGAACATCAAGAAGGGAAAACGAGTCTAGTTTGGTTCTTTCTCTGCTATCAGTCTTGAAAACTTAGATCAAGTTTATTGTATTTCTACTAGCATTAGTACTGAAATTTAGATCCAAATTTCAGCCTCCCCCTTTTTTTATAAACTGAAATCTAGTTTGTGATAATTTTTTTTTATATTAGTCCCGAAACTTAGATCCAGTTTTTGACCCTTTTATTGGTAGCGGTGTTGAACTTAGATCTAGTTTTGGGATTTTTATTGACATTTGCCTTGAAACAAATTTAGTTTCTTTGGTTCTTGTATCGATATCAGTCTTGAAATTTAGACCATGTTTTGGTATTTTTATTTATTTTAATCTTGAAACTGAAATCCAATTTGGGGTTCTTACATTAGTATTATTCTCTAAACTTAGATCTTTTTTTTCTTTCTAATATCTTCTGATGAGTCCTGAAATTTAGATCCAGTGCTTGATACCATCTTTTGACAGTCTTCATACATAAGTCAAACTTAAGTTTAATTTTGGATTTTTTATTGACATTAGTCTTGAAACATAAACCTTTTTTTTATATTTTTGTTAGTATAAGTCTTGAAAGTTAGTTAATTTTTGATATTTTTATTGATTTAAATTTTGGAACAAAATCCAGTCTTTGGTACCTTTCTTTTTTGACTTCGTTTTCAAGGTTTACTCCCGTGTATAGACATCGTTATAGAAACGTGAATCAGTCTCTAGAGCCCCAATAAAATCGTAATATTCTGCTTATCCTGTTTTGGAACAAAATTTTATGCATGACTGACCTCAGAATGATCTTCCATTTAATTGCTAAAAAATATAGTAATTGGTTACGTATTCATTCTTGTTCTTGTTTGTCACAGTTGTCGGATGCAGGACTGATTTAAACACCAGTTTTCGGCAGTATAAACTCTATAGGATTAGACCAAATTATTTAGTTCCGGCCACCCCCCTGATTGTCGCTACACTACCATATCCTATCACATATGTTTGTTCTACCTGCGTGAGTCCACTCGGCCACCGTATGACAGGGTGACGGATGAGTTTGTATAAATACAATAGCGTAGGGTACGTGTTAATAAAGAATAAGGATTTCTGAGTCCGAATTCTTACCTGCTGTGACCCGAGGTTTCAGCGTGCATCTACGCACGTGCGACATTACTTCCTGTACTCGCGTGAGCGCTGGTGTTGTACCGTATAGTTGCACGTGGTGTACGCTATATACATAGCGTTTTTTGTCAGAGCTCGATATATTTATAACATCCAGTCATGATCGTCGCATTGAACATAGAAGGCAAAGAAATTTAAACATTCCTACGTGTTTTAGTGTTTCGTGATAGAAGATGTGTGATCGAACGTTGTTGTTGTTGTGCACCAGCGACAACGCATTTGTTAAATCGTGTTGATCCGCCATTTTCCATAACCCACGAATATTAGTGTAGAATAATTCCAAGTTATTTTGTTGTTAGAAGTACGTAGAACAGTCTAGCAAGCCTTTTCAGATCGTGTTTTCAGTCTTGCCATAAAATTGCACACAAAGTAAAGTAACTTAGGTAGAACTTTATAGTTTTTTGAAGAACTCGCTGTAATATTCAGAATGTTGGTTGTAGAAAAGTGTAAATATTTAATCTGGCTGAGAAACTTTGTTGTTCTTTTCTCCCCAAACATACACAAAGACACACACACTGGAATTTATATTTTTTTTTATACTGAAAAGTTTTCCTTTTGTTTATTAAATTTTACGTTGGATATAATTCATTTAAAATACTATTCGAAACTTTTCTTTGTTTCCCACTAATGTTAGTTTATTTTCTTTTTTTCTATGCTGATCCTGGAACGGGCAACGACTAACAACAACAGGGGGTAAGTGTGACCTTTGTCCTTAAAATTAATGACAGCTTAAACATTGAAGCGAATGGTAGGATTATGACCCATCAAATCTTTGCATGTTACCTCTTACCTGAATGAGAAACAATTTTTATTACTGCCACAAAAAATGTTTGAATGTTGTCATTTATCAATTTATACAGTGCTTGGAACGTTGTTCTTGTACAAATATACATATATATGTCGTGTCTAGACGTTCGTGAAATGACGTTACAGGCATTGAACACGAGGAACCTAAGATCGTGCTTATTTTGTACTAATCCTGAACAAAATACCTTTCATAGGTATACCATAAACTTTTTTTATCCTCGGCACCTGAATTGTAAATAATAGTTTTACATGTTTTAAAAATAAACATTTTAAGCTGACGTACACGTTTACGTTTGTTTTCATTATCTGTGCGCACGAGACGATTTTATTATCCATTTTTCTGCCAGAATATCTGTGGTTCATATCTTTGTAGCTAATTATATGTAAGATGGTAATCCCCCCCCCCCAACGCCTGAACAACGCAGCTAAATCTATCGTCATTGTGCCCAACTTAATTCTCATACCGTTTCAACTTCCTTTTTTTATGACTGAAAATAACGCCTCAGAATTACCATATAATATAATAATCAGATTAATATTCGTATTTTCTGATGTCTCCTCATTTGGCCACATTTATCAGTAGTTTTAACGAGTGTCCCTAATTACTTGGAAATGATATTGTGTTCGTTATCTAAGCATATGTCCTGAAAGAAAACAACAACAAAACACACTAGGTGCTGAGTGGAGTGGCTACTGTGTGTACTAGAATGAGCTAACCTCTTGAGAACCGAGGGCGTCTTTTGCACGTCAGAAAACGTATTTGAATGTGTATACTACCTTCTTGACAGATTAATGAACAAAATAATTGTAGTTACTTATTTAAACGAAGGATTTTCGCTGTTAGTTGAAAATGTTTTGCGAAATATAGATTACTAACGATAAACAAATACAGCGCACGCAGACAATTCATTAAGTTAAATGCTGCGTGAGTACTCAACTAAAGAAGACTTTTACAGTTGCCTAGCAACTAGACAAAGAGGCAATCTAACGAGCTTCTGGTTGCAGCGAGTCAAGAAATTAGTCTGTGTTTCCAACAATAGGTGGATAGTGAAAGAAATACCGTTCACTCCTTCCCTTGAGAAATCAACAAATAATTTTGTTTTTTCATTGTTATTTGATTTGTTGAATATACACTTTGGTGCTTTTACGCTAAAAACAAAATTGATTTCATTTTGAAACTTGAGTTTTATGGACGATCCTGAAAAAGTTAAGCGATACGATATCTTAATGACCCAAGAGTGGCTAGAGAGCCCTGACTCTGAGTCTAATGGTTAACGGGTGCCACGCACTTTGAAACCGTGGGCGCGCCATAAGTAGGACGGTCAAATCCCATCAATAGGGCAGACAGACAAGAGTAGCCCAAGAATTGGCGGTGGATGCTGTTGACCAGCTGCCTTCTAGTCTATCAGTTCAAAATTAGGGACGGTTGAACGCAGGTAGCCCATATATATATATATACGTATAGTTTTGTGCGAAAATTCAACAACAAACATAATCTAAGTTATTTGAAATTACATTGTAAAAGTTTTAAACATCATATCCAGTTACGCAACAACAATAAATAATGCAAGTTGCAAAAACAAAAACTCTACTGACTCCATTATTTTCTCGGCGGTAGCGCCATCTATCGAGCACATAATAATATTTATTACTTGTGGGTGCTTTAAATTTCTTCGTAAAATTTAAAAAATGATAACCATCTAATGTACATGTGTAAGTGAAGAGTATTGCTTCCGTGAGACGTGTCGTAGAATTAGGAAGTTTATTTTAAAAGTACTGTTAATTAATACAAATAAAAGTCAGTGATTTCATCCTATGATTCGTTCAGATACGCTAATGTACGTGATATGTAAAACTTCTTTTCTGTTTGTTTTGGTGATGTGCTGCCTGCTGCTTGGAACAATGGGATGTATCGACACTGTCGTTAACCTCTGAAACAATGTTGCATCTTCTGTCTGATGTTATCTTCTAGTTCGTAAGTATCATTTTTATAGTTGTTATTAAAAATATATATAAATATAGCACTTGTGCCAGCAGATACATGCCCGATTGTTATAACAAGTTTTAAAGGATATACGAGTGTATGATTTTCAGATTAATATCATCTCCAACTGTGTACAGATTATTATTCTTCATAGATAAACAGAGGAGATGAATATTACGAGTAAGAGGAACGTTTAGTGAGTCAATTGATAATTTCAACATGCATTATTTTGGGGGACTACTACTAGAATATAGAATAGTTTTAATGTCGGCCCGGCATGGCCAGGTGGTTAGGGCGCTCGACTCGCAATCTTATGGTCGTGGGTTAGAATCCCCGTCACACCAAACATGCTCGCCCTTTCAGCCGTGGGGGCGTTATAATGTGACGGTCAAACCCACTATTCGTAGGTAAAAAGAGTAGCTTAAGAGCTGGCGGTGGGTGGTGATGACTAGTTGCTTTCCCTCTAGTCTTACACTGCTTAATTAGAGACGGCTAGCTCAGATAGCCCTCGTGTAGCTTTGGGCGAAATTCAAAAACAAACTGATTAAGAAATAATATCATTTCCCATATTCTTCAATGTTTTTATAAATTCCATTGAATATAGTCTCATATTAAATAGGTCCATAAAGATTTCGTATATCACGGTTGTTTTTACAACGTCAGCTGTATTGTATTTTTTTGCTCTCTAGCCTGCATAGGCATACTCCTATAGAAGAACACGTCTTGGAGTGAATTGAATCCAATGGCAAACGTTCTAAGTTAACGAAGTAGTATAAAAACACGCGCGTAACAAGACTTGCTGAAACGTTTTTCTGACAAGAGAAGTCGTTGTAACATTGGTGTCTTCAGGCCTTCATAAGTAATTAAATTCACCCTTGACTTCAGGTTGTTGTTTGTTTTTTTTACATCCCTCTTAGTTACACCAGTATAGATCAGGAATAAGATTCGTTTTATACGATCAGATGTAATTTTATTCATTAATTAATTTTGTTTCACTTTACAGCCATACACTCTGTATAGTAGTAGTATATGTACTGAGTTGAGAAGGCTGCTTGATTACAGAACGGTTTGTACTCGTGTTATGTTCGATAACTCATCTTCTGGACGAAATACTGACGGTAGAACCGTGTTAGATAGATCATTATATTGACAGTATAATTTCACACTTTTGTGCGAGCTTTCCAAGACTTAATAATGATGTGGAATCTAACGACTCATTAATATTATTTTTTAGTTCACCACTACTAGAATGGTTTATTTATTTATTGATATTTGAGGTGCTTTACCAATCGTGTTCAAGTTAAAATCTGTTTGTTTTAAGTGTGGTCTTTCAACCACTACTGTATTACATACATGAATTTTGACATTTGGCGAATGTATGGTGATTCACCTCATATCTTTCACTTATCAATGCAGTACCAAAGGCGGTGTATTTTTAAGGGAAATAAGATAATCATAAAACAGTTTCTTACCAGCATGGACTTTTTTTTTTTCTTCCTAGTATGTGTATTTTCAGGTTTCTCCAGAACACAATGACGAACCTTCAGCAGTTCATGGCCAGGTGGATAAGGCGCTCGACTCGCAATCTGAGGGTCGCGGGTTCGAATCCCCGTACCATCAAACATGCTCGCCCTTACAGCCGTGGGGGCGTTATAATGTAACGTCAATCTCACTATTCGTTGGTAAAAAGAGTAGCCCAAGAGTTGGCGGTGGGTGGTGATGACTAGCTGCCTTCCCTCTGGTCTTACACTGCTAAATTAGGGACGGCTAGCGCAGATAGCCCTCGTGTAGCTTTGCGCGAAAATTAAAAAAAACAAACAAACCTTCAGCCGTTAATTTCTTTTCACCGTTGTTATTATTATTTTGTCTCATTAAAACTTACTAGCAAATTTTTATATACGCATATTGTTGTTTTCTCGCGCATGTTTTGTTTTATTTACTACAGAACATATTGACAAATTTGTATCGGACGTTTTCCTGAGCACGTGTAGTTTTGGTTTCCTTTCTTCATAATTTACTTACAAGCTTGTATTTGAGATCGTTACTTGTTCTTCCAATATTTATTAGCCGCATCAAAGCGGCTCACAGAATAGCTCCAAGTTTTTTTTTCAAGTATAAAATTTTAGCTCATAGCTTCGTCATCTCTTGACCGATTTGAGATCTAATTACAGTGTTGGACTCAGGAGGTGAAACCCTTTCGATTTATGTATTTGACCACGCCCAAGGTCTCATAGATTAGTTTACTCTAATCCTGCCTAAAATAATTTCAAGTGCTGCGGCTATTGAGGATTCCGTCTTGTTTAACGTATACATACCAACTATACAGAAACATAGTTAAGCCTATATTTTGACAAGAAGAAGTAGAACTGTCTATACTTAGAGACACTTTTTTAAAGCGTTAAATCAGGTTTTAGTCTCTAAGATAAAACCATTGAGCATGATTAATATGTTAGATGTAAACATCACTTAAACTGCAGACAAATTAGAAGAAAATACTACATCCAAATATGTACGTATTGCATAGATTATCGTGAAGTAAGTTTTTGGAATACTACCTTAACCGAGCGCAAATAATTTTATTACACAGAAGGGTTCTGAGACCATATAAGTTATAATTTGTTTCAAGTATGGCAAAAGTAACTACTAAACACAAAACGTATTAGCCCCCATCAGGCAACAACACATCAACACGACTTTTGTTTGTAAGTTATTAATAATAAGTGTCTCCTCAAAAAGCTGAGTGAAATTGATTGCTTATTCTGACAGTTTTTAAATTCAGGATATATCGCCAGTTACTACCGCGCAGCACCTAAACTACTATTATTTACAATTTTAACCTCACTTTAATAACTTATTCCGCGAACGTTTGAGAGATTGCCCTTTTGTCATTAGTTAAAACTAGTTTACAGAGTTGAAGAAGAAGATTTCGTACGCCAGTGACAATTCTGTTTGTTAGAAGTAGCATAAGAACGTGGGAGGCTAAGAGTCCCCTTGGGAGGTCTAGAACACACAGGTTTGTTTGTTGGAGAACTCGTGGCGCCTCACCCTGAGAACTTATGGTGACTTTTAGGGCAGAATGTTAGTTTCTTGGCGCCCGTAACTTTGTGCACAGTAGAGTGACGGGTCGAGACAGTCGGACGTTCCTTATTGACCTTCTCATTGAGTTACTTGATTTACTTCTCTATCCCCCCCACGTGTCTGGACAACTTACACAAGACTGAGGGGCACGGTCAAAGGGGTTGTCTAACGCAGCAGGTGTCTCTATGGCAAGATCAAGTCCTCTAAACTTTGCCTAATTTGTTCGGTAGTTTTTAGCTGTTATCCCGGTTTTAGTGGAATGTTTAAAACAAATTTCCCCGCCCCTCCCACTTAACTTTCCGTTCTCCAATACTTCAAATCAATT